GTGAACTTTGAAGTCAACATTCAAAGGTGAGAGGCTGTTTCATGCTAGACGCAATCGTCAGACCTAGTATGAAACAGCCTGTCGCCTCTGAGTGTCGACTTCAATTGACTTCAATCGGTCTGGGTTAGGAGTTTATGGCTAGGATTTTTGTTAGTTTAATATCAGTTCCTACTATATGGTGTTTCATATAAACGTCCCGGCGCATGTCCCTCTGGGAATTACAGTAAATAGTTTTTGTACTGTGAAGCGATGCGAGATTTGAACTTACGTCCGTTAAGGTTAATGTAAATTAGTTGAGTTGTAGATTTATAGATTGTGGGTAATACCAGAGTACCCAATTGATCAACTCGTGGTGTCCAGTACATATATGCGTGTATTTACCTGATCATACATAAATGCAACTATACATACGCATAGACTCAATATATATATATATATATATATATGAAGACATTTTTATGTTTATACATTCTTTTTTATAGATACAAATATTTGACTAAATGCTCTGTTTATAATAAGCAGTATTAACAACATTTACTGGCCTGAATGTCCAAGAAATTGTCATAGAAAATATGCGTCCTCCGACAGGAATCGAACCTGTATCCTATACGGAACCGTCATATAGCCTGACGTGCTTTTACCGATTTTGCCACAGAATTTCGGTTAGCAAGGTCGACTTTACTGTTTTAAACTACAATAATCCATGATTCTCTCACATACATTCATATCTGTTCGATGCGTATCCAAATGTAAACAAATAATGTCACACATTATGAAATGGACAAATTCCGACAATTATTTTTAAGACTTTTTATGTTTATAAAAAAAAATGTATAAACATAAAATGTCTTAAAATAAAAATAATATATATATATATATATTATATATATATATATATATATATATATATATATATATATATTCTGTCGTTTTGGACGTATACGAGTTCAACAGCTCTTGATACTCTGCTTGTGTTTGTACCTTCGATGACTTTTCAACACAGCTTGAGACAAATGCAACATGAAACACACACAGCTATATATTCAACATGAAACAAAAATAGAAAAGCGGTCCTTCCTGAAAAACCCAATGAATCAAAATATATTGTTCTACTCACCACCTCTATCGTAACTACCACTGAAAAGAATTTATTTAAACTGAACATAAAATTTGTCACAATTAAAATAAAAGACTTAATTAATACAAAACGAAGTAAGTTAAAACTTGAACAGGGAGTTTACTCTATCACCTGTAATAATTGCCACAAGGAATCTACAGAAGAAACCTCAAGGGATTTAAATAAAAGATTATATGAACACAAAAGGGATCTTTTACAAAACAATAAACTAAATATATTAGTTGCTCACTGGAATGAGACTGACCACAATTTATATTTTAAAAATACTGCTCTAATTTTAAGAGGAAGCAATTTATTAAGATGAAAATGTATAGAAATTGCTTTAATCGCTAGATCATCCACAGTAAATTTACGTCCACGTTCTTACAGCATTTCACCTTTCTTGACAGATTTTCTATTATCACAATGTCGGATATTCAATAATAAAAGTGATGGAAACATAAATCAGAAGAAATTAAATAAAATCGACTAGACTATATGCCCACAACATATATTAAAAATATGAAATTAAACATCCTTTTTATGAATTCAATATCAAAATAAAAGATGCAATTCAAGAAAGATCAGTTTATCTTTTATGCAATAGATTCACAGAGTTCAAGAGATTTCAAAAATTGGCCAACAAATATGGAGTTCAATCCTTGAGCTGGCTATTAAAGACATAGACAGTGGAAACAGTTTTAGAAATAACTTAGTAGTACATAAACAGCACTGCTGTTATGGGGTCCTCCCCTTTTTTCATATAAGTGGACTCGACCAGAGTGTTACTGCTGCCGTTAAATAACCAGAGTCAGTCAGAATATATAGAGAGAGATTGAGAGATATTGGGAGAGTGAGCAGAGATTGTGATTGAGTTGGAGGTAGAGTAATAGTGTGAGGTAACCGCTTGTAGAAGTCAGTTACAAGTACGTAGACTCTAAGGAAGTCCTACTTGAGACTATATATATATATATATATATATATATATATATATATATATATATATATATATATATATATATATATATATATATATTATTGCGACTAACTGCGTTCCTGGATTTACTAACAATATACCCATTGTATTATTGTGTAAATACATTTAATTTCTAATCTTTATTTCTTGCGTTTGTCATTCATTGGAGACCGAATTTCATTTCGGAATCCACAAGAACTGCTCTCTCCAAATATTTCTGGCGATTAAAGAATGATGGTAAACACAATCATTGTTACGTGGCATATTGTCGCAAAGACCAAAACTTACAATGGGAAAGGCGACAGATATAATTTATGTCTTGTTGAAAAATTAGTTGTCTTAAAACACTTAAAAAACCCTAGCTTATTAAATAAAAGAAATGAATTGAAGGTTACATGTAGGAATAA